CCTTCCTTCCTTCCTTCCTTCCTTCCTTCCTTCCTTCCTTCCTTCCTATTTTTGGATACATCAGACTGTAGAACTCTTGGGCCCATAACATCTAATTATCTACACACACTTATATTTCACAATGGATTAAAAACCTTTCAGTCTATCTCGGTGTGATTAGCTCTTCCCCTATTCATTATCCGTTTTTAATTTTTTTCCCCTGTTTTTGTACTTTAACTGATATATAGTTCGTGCTTTCTTAGATCCGCTGCCTACAGTATTGCAATTTGAAAAAGGGAAAGTTCTTTGACGAATTAAACATAATAAAAACAATGATATGTATTTGTTAAACATTAAACCCATCTGCAAACGGCCACAAACGCAGGTCATTATTTTTTTGTAACTTTGAATGGTCCTAAGTCAAGGACAACGCAAATCTCCCTTTAACTCTGCGATAGGGTAGCAGGAAAAAAATCCCTGCTTGCTTTTCAGATGGGATGGAGCAACGTCATACCACCCAGAGAGAGCGAGAACAAACAACACTTACAAAGATAGGCACCAAGCCACGGCTACGATCCTCCTCCATCGCTTTGCTCAGGGTTTCACCTCTCAAGGCAAAATTCTCATCCACCGGCAGAAACCTCATTTTCACAAGGGAAATCAAACCTGCCTTTTCGACGGAGGAATGAGCCTGGAAAACAAGACACAGATTGGTGACAATCCGTGGAGGATGACAGAATGAAGGATAACAGGAAAGGACCTTTGAGGTCTTCTAGTCCAACTTTCTGCTCAAACAGGAAACGCTATGCTATTCCAGGCAAATGGCTGCTCGATCTTTTCTTAAAAACCTCCAGTGTTGGAGCATTCACAACTTCTGGGGACAACTTGTTCCACTGATTTATTGTTCTAACTGTCAGGAGATTTCTCCTTAGTTCTAGGTTGCTTCTGTCCTTGATTAGCTTCCTTTGCATCCTTTCCTGTCTGCGTCTCAGGTGCCTCAAACCTACCATTCCTAGGCAAGGCTGCCTCCTGCTGTTCAGAAAATATATATGGGGAAACACAGAATAATAAATAAGGAAGAATTTACCAGCCGAGTGTTTTTTCTCCTGTGGGACTGGTCTGTCAGGGCAACCTGGTCTACCCAATTCTGGGATGAAGCATACCGATCCCACCAGAAAAAAACACTTACTCTCCCCTGCTATAGCCAACAAAGCAAGGGAAGCCCGTGGGTTAGAGGTTAATACATCTACCTAATATGTATGTAGCCCGGGTTCGAATCTCAGAAGGGTATGGCTAGCTGATGAGAGCTAAATAGCTTGAAATAGATCTATACTAGTCTCCCTTTATTTCTTTGTTGGTAAAACATACATTTAACAATTTACGAGTTGGTTAGTTAAACCTGTTGCATGTCCTGTTCCCATCGGAGAACACAGCTGCATGAAAAAAGCCGATGTTCCAGGCTCCGATGTATTTACATGTGTGAAAGAGGTGGATGTGCATGTGACAGATATGAACAGGAAGCAGGAAGTAATGGGTGGAAGCTTAATAAAGAGAGATCCAACCTAGAACTAAGGATAATTTCCTGACAGCAAGAACAAGTAATCAATGGAATGGTTTTTGCCTCTAGAAATTGTGGATGCTCCATCACTAGAGGTTTTCAATAAAAGATTGGACATCCATTTTGTCCAGAATGGTATAGGGTCCCCTGCTAGAGCAGAGGGTTGGACTAGATCAGTGGTCACCAACCTGTGGGTGGTCTGTGACAAAATTTTGGTGGTCTGCAGAAAAATGTCACCCCAAAGCAATTAATCTAGGCTGCGTGGGAACACAAGAGTTGTGTCACTTGCATTGTGAACAACACAAGGTAGTGAGGGGAGTGGGGAAAGGGCAGACGGGGGGAACTTGCCCCATGCGCCTCGCCTGGCCACCCGGCTGCTTCTTTCTGCTTCTTTCTTCTGCTTTTGGCTGCATGCAAAGAAAACAGCCAAAGTCTTTCTTTCTCTCCCCCAAACTCTGCCAGAAGTGAGTCTTTGGGACCCTGCAAGTCCTCCTGCTCCTGCTGCCAGCATGACAAACCTCACAAAGACTCATTTCTGGCGGAGTTTGGGGGAGAAAAAGAAAGACTTCTGCTGCTGCTGCTGCTTTCCTTGCATGAAGCCAAAAGTCTTTCTTTCTCTCTCCCCCTGAGAACAGAGCTGGAGACGGTATCCTGCGATCCCAAATAAAGAATGATCGATCAGTAGGCAAACGGGGTGGGGAATTTTCCTGCAGACTTTTTTTGGGATTTTCCCAGAGTCTCTGGTCCGCAGGATTTAAAATTATGAGTTTGGTGGTCCCTGAGGTCCAAAAGGTTGGCAACCCCTGGACCAGATGACCTTCAAGGTCCCTTCCAACTGTTATTCCGTATTCTATTCTGCATTTCTATTTCTAGGGCATAGTTATGGCCACCGTCATTTTTGGCTTCTCTTCCCTGCCTCTGTTGACCATGATTATTATTATTTTCCCAGATGGGGTTCCAGTAAAAACTTAACAACTTCACACAGAATGTATATGTAGTAAGAACTCACCTGATCAGAAGCATAGGCGATGAGGCGAGAATTCAGAATGGAATCATCTGCATTTGGCTCAGAGGTTTTCATTTCAAGAATTTTATTCTTTCTGGCTGCTAGGAGAGCGATTAGAGTTGATTCACTAACTGTGCTCTATAGGGAGAAGAGGAAAAAAAAATCCCTCTAACAATAGCTTATATTTGATGTGAAAAATATCCTAGTCCCTCCAAATGTCAAGAAGATCCTAGGACTATGTCCAAACTCCAAAGGTCATAATCTACGTTGCAACCTCCTTCCCATTTTCCCCCATCAAATGTTTGCTGACTTTCTAACGGCAGAAATTATAGATCACTTCATCTTAGAGCAATGGTACACACACACTTCACTCCTCCAGATATTTTGGCCCATAATCCTTTGCCATCGCCATGCAGAATTGAAAGCTGAAAGATCTGGAGAACACTGGACTGCATCTCCTCTGTCATTCCAGAGACAGTCTATTAGTCACAAATAATATTCACTTCTCAAAGCGCTCCACTTTTATTGTGTCTGTGGTCTCTGCAAGAATCTGATTATGAAATCTTACTGCAGACGGGCAAATGACACCTGTAGTTCCTGGCTGAAGGAAGATTTATGACTTCCTGCAAATCAGCCTCTCTGTAGCCACTTAATTACAGGTACTCTTCAACGTATAACCACCTTTGAGGCCAGAATTAGCATTGCTAAGCAAGGGGCTAAAATGTATAAACTTCTATTAAAATTTGAAATGGAAGAAGAACAAGTAAAAAGAATGTACGATAACATGGGGTACAAAAATTGGTGAGAGTATGCAGATACTGTGATACCTCAGAATTCATCTTAATTGCTTCCGGGAGATGTGATAAGTACCAAAAGTGATGAGTACCAAATTTTTCCCATAAGGAACAAGGCAGCTGACGCTGACAGGTTCTAGCCTGTGCGTTGAGTAGCAAACAAGCAATGAGTACTGGGACAAAGTTTTCAGGTCAAAATGCATTGCGTGTCAGATTCAATGAGTTTCAAAGCAGTTGAGTACCAAGGTACCACTGTAGAAGAATGGGAAAATATGAAAGAATTTAAACTTACATTGTGTTATAATCTTACAGAGAAGGTTCATAAAAGGATGTTCTGTTGGTATACGACACCAGAAAATTTATTCAGAAGGTATAAAGGCATTTTAAATTTGTGTTGGAACTAGAGAGTAGATGGCCTCTAAGATCCTCTCCAATTCTATGATTTCCAACCTTCCTGCAAGTGAGTTTTGGAATTTGTTGCGCCAACATATTTGGACGTCACCAAATTGGCCAAAGGACTACCAGAGAGGCAGCTATGTGTTCTAAGCAGGCTAACTCATTGCTCGCTCCTGGAGTTTGATTCTGATTGGCTCCAGGTTAATTCAGCCTTCCCTCCTTCCCAGGTGGGTAAAATGAGGACCCAGATTGTTGGGGGCAATAGGCTGACTTTGTAAACCGCTTAGAGAAGGCTGCAAAGCACTGCAAAGCGGTATATAAGTGCTATTGCTGTGCTCAGATTAACAACAGTGAACCTTGAGAATCAGTCACATGGGAAATGGGTAGGCACATTAAATCACTCACTCAACCGATCAATCCATTAATCTACTCGTTTACCTGCAAAATGCCACCACCTTTGCTGCCTGGATGATAATGCAAGAATGTTTCCGGAAGACCCATCATTTGAGCCAACCAATCCATCACGTTCATTTCCAGTTCTGTGCAAGCTGGACTGGATGCCTTAAAGGAAGAAAATACAGTGAGTAACAGCATCGCATTGGATGAAGGTGAGGAGCTCTTGATGTAGCAATGCTTAATGTTTTTTTTTCTTTCAGCACATTGCACGGGGTTGTAGCCAAAACCTGGCTATCTTAAAGCAACCAAATCCCTTTGAAGATGCAACATTCTTTTGCTTTTGCACACGACAGATAGATTGTGTTCTTCATACTTTGCCTAACAGCCGTGGGCAAAAGCAGAACCAGAAGTTTACATTGTAAAGACTAGACAAAGAAAAGGGAAGACACGTGACATTGGAATATTTCAGATAAACCCATCTCTGTGCCCTTTCTTATTATTTATCACTTGTCCCTACTAAATAAGCTTGCCAGCTGTGTTATGTCTGATATATGGTGGGTGGACAGAAACAGTTTGGTTTGCTTGACCACAGGTTCTTGGCTGAATCTTCTCCCTGTGGCCACTCTGGGTCAGTTTGGCTGCTCTGAATGTTTTCTTCCAAGGGCATTTTAAGGAGTTTGTCTACTCTAGGAGACATTGGAGTACTCATCTCAAATGACCTAAGTGCTAGAGTCCACTGTAACTACATAGCCAAAAAGGCATTAAGAGTTGTTAATCTAACCCTACGTAGCTTTTTCTCTGGTAATATCACACTACTAACTAGAGCATACAAAACATTTGTTAGACCTATACTTGAATACAGCTCATCAGTCTGGAACCCATATCATGTATCTGATATTAACACAATTGAAAAAGTCCAGAAATATTTCACAAGAAGAGTTCTCCACTCCTCTACTCATTGCAGAATACCTTATGCCACCAGACTTGAAATTCTAGACCTCGACAACCTAGAACTACGCTGCCTCCGGTCTGATCTAAGTATAGTATATAAAATCATACATTGCAATGTCCTACCTGCAAACGAATACTTCAGCTTCAACCATAACAACACAAGAGCACACAATAGATACAAACTCAAGGTTAACCGCACCAAACTTGATTGCAGAAAATACGACTTCAGCAACAGAGTGGTCAATATCTGGAATACTCTACCTGACTCTGTGGTTTCTTCCCCAAACCCCAAAAACTTTAACCTTAGACTGTCTACTGTTGACCTCACCCCTTTCCTAAGAGGTCTGTAGGGAGCGTGCATAAGCGCACCAATGTGCCTACCGTCCCTGTCCTATTGTTCCTTTTATTTTTCTTATATGTATCCATTTCATGTATTCCTAACTATGTTTATACTTATACCTATTATCTTATAATCGCTTGGCAAATCAAATAAATACTAAATACATCTCATAGGTTTACATGCTGAAGGGACCAGCTCTACAGTTCTTACTTCTATGTCGGTGGTGGCAAACTTTTGGCTCTCTGTGGGCATGCACGCCATTACCCCAGCTCAGCTCTGCCACACATGCGCACACGCCTCCTGCCAGCCAGCTGATCTTCTGGTCTCTGCCGTGCATCTGCAGGGGGCGGGGCATGAGGGGGGCAGAGCACATGAGTGGGTCAGGGCACATAAGGGGGGTGGGGTGCATACACAAGGGGCGCACACATGCATGCATAGGAGCATACATGTGAATGCAGGGGGGGCGCATGCATGAACAGCGCACGTTACATTTTGGGTAAGCGCGCAATGGGCACTCGGTGCCAAAAAGGTTTACCATCACTGTTCTGTATTATTTGTTCCTGATGTTGTTGTGGGCCAAACCTGGGCACCAGGCTTCACAAATTTTAGGTCTTTTCTTATGATTGTGTCTGTGGGTCTCCTATACACACAGGGCATCGCAGTTATGTTTGTGGCACAAGTCCCACAACCAAGTTCTTCCTTTACACACAGACAGGCCCTCAACATTTACTGCAATAATAGTCATTTGTGGACTGAAAAAGGTCCTTTGCAGAGGTAGTCCTCGACTTATAACCACAGTTGAGCTCAACATTTTGGTTGTTATGTGAGTCATTTGCTAACTTTGTCCCATTTTACAACCTTTCTTGCCACAGCTGCTAAGTGAATCACTGATATCAACATGATTGTTAAGTGAATAAAAACAAATCAATCAATCAAACTTGTTGACTAGAAACAATTCAGTGACAAAGGCCTTCTAAATAGTGAGAATCATTTAAATGATCCGTGAAGTGTAGGTAGCTCTCAACTTATGACTTCAGTTGAGCCCAAAATTTTTGTTGCTAAACAAATCAGTTGTTAAATGAGTTTTCCCCCATTTTATGACTTTTCTGGCCACAGTTGTTAAGTGAATCACTGCCGTTGTTAAGTTAGTGACACAGTTGTTAAGTGATTCTGGCTTCCTCGTTGACTTCACTTGTCAGATGGTCACAAAAGGGGATCACACATGACCCTGGAACACTGTAACCATCATAAACATGAGTCAGTTGACCAGAATTTTGATCAGGCGACCATGGGGATGCTGTAATGGTTGTAAGTGTGAAAAACGGACACTTTTTCAGTGCTGTTGTAACTTTGAACAGTGACAAAATGAACTGTTGTAAGTCAAGGACTACCTGTACCCCATCTGGCCACAGGTGGGACTGAGCTTTGGAGGTTTCCTAGGTTTAGTAGAGAACTCAGCTGTCATGTCTGTGGGGGAAGGATAAGTTGTCCCTGCAAGAGAAGGGAAACACCTCACCACTTAAAGTGCTTCCTCAAATTGTGGGCATTTTGTTTACTCGGAAGAGAGACTGCCTGTCGCATCGTGCCTCCTCCTGCTAGCAGACTTCATTCCTAGCTACCGTCATTTCCTTCTGCTCGGCTTCTGAATAAGTTTTGTCATCGTGCAATTTTTACAGGCTTTCCTTACCACGTAATGCACAACTCAAGAGTAAACCAACTCATTGACCTTGCTGGATATCTCCTGATCCGTCGTAAGCAGACACCAGTCTTCTAGTGTGACCCCTTTCTAAGAGTTTGTCAGGAAAAATGATTTGTAGACAAATATTCTGAAATATAGATTGAGCAACCTACATACTGCTTCGCTGTTTATTAAGGCAGGAGTTTCTGAAAAAGCACCCAAAGTTTTGAGTCGGTTTGAAACCGAAAGCAAAGGCAGAACACTTGGCATTCTCCACACCTGGCTACTCAGTGTTTTTCAAACTTGGCAAAGTTATGTGAACTTCATTTCCCAGAATTTCCCAGTTACTATGCTTTAAATGCTATCGCTTTTCAGCTAACCTTCAAAAGATTCTCTCTCTCTTTTTTCTTATTTAGTTTAACCACGTGGAAAGTTTAAGGAATGTTATAGGTAATTGATCGATCCATGGTGCTTGTATATTATGACTGTATAAACTCTGAGCATGTGCAAAATGACCTTAACCACTATATTGCACTACCTGCTACATTGACACTATCTAATACTACTCTGCTTTATATGCAGTGTGTGAATTGTGATTTGCCCTGGAGTTTGTTTTGTGTGTGCGTGTGTGTGTTTGAGATGCTGGGGTTTTGAGCAGAAGATCTTAATGCTGGAATTACTTACCCAAGTAAATCCCAAACAGTTAATAGCATTTGCTAGCATATCTCCAAGGAGTGAAGGCCAGGAAGTCAGAGCTGGGAAATACGCGTGCATTTGTGGACTTTGCCAATGGACAACCTAAAAGAAGAGAGGAGCACAGAAAAATAAGATGAGCTGGCCCAGCATGAAATGAAGAGGATGGAAAGAAAGACAGGACAATGAAATTAAACTGTCCAGGCAAAAGAAAGGAAACTCTCGGGATTCTTATTTTTCTTTGTCCCCTGATAATGCAAAAAATTGCTTGAACAGCTGGCTGTCCTTGGCTAATGCTGTTCTGGATTGGAAACTTAGCTATGTCAGAATAAGACAACAGCAAAGTACGTGCATAATGCTACCAAGAAAATGATATAGATCCATCCATAAAGACCTTAGGTTAACTGGAAGGAGATGTTGTCTTTAATCAAGAAGATAAATTGTGATGCAACAGGTAATTGTACAACTATCAGGTCTCATAGCCAATGAGGCAACCCTTCTTCACCTGTTGGGTGAGCAGCATCTATCTATCTATCTATCTATCTATCTATCTATCTATCTATCTATCATCCAGTAAGAACTTCTTTGTGTTTGGAGCAGCATTCTCTAACTCTCCAGATGTGTATTTGGGAGTTCCCTCCATGGCATCTGGAAGACTGCTGGGAAGGATGACTTCAAAAACCAGTAAAGATGGCTAATGGAATGTAACTGAGTGACAGTTACACTTGTTTAAGCCTAACACTGATCTCAATCATACAAACTGATGATCCTGCATTGTAAAGAGAAAATGGTGCTTGGTTCCGATTTGTCATATCTAACGAGGGAGGGCATGGAAAGTTGCTCAAAAAAAAGAGTCTGTTTTTTGTCACTGTTATCAAAACATATCTGATGCTGGGTGCAGTGATGAATCGGTACTGGCATATTCAGATCTGCTGTATAAAGATGTTCTCTGTGAGATGAAAGCGATAGCTGAAGAAACTCGCCAAGATTGTTCTTCTCCATTTTAAGAGCACTGAGAAATTAGACTGTCCTCCTCAGTTCAAGTATCACTCTCAGAGGTGAATTACCAAGGCATAAAAATATAGTTCTTTTGAGAAATCAACAGAATATATATCTGCAGCTAGATCCTTTATTTTGGTTAGAATTTCTCTTCTCCCTCAGATATCTGGGATATATAATATCATATATGATATTATGATATCATAATGACAGTTATGATATAATGACAGTTGCCTCCTGAAAAAGTATCTTTGGGACAGGAGACCCTATGTACTATTTCAGACAAATGGTTGTCCAATCTCTTCTTAAAAACCAAACTGTGACCAGCTGAATTAGGAACGGTAAATGTGTGTCACCCTTTAAAAAATTGTGCCATGACTCCTATCATCCCTGATCATGGGGCCATGCTTGCAAATGGATAGGAATCGGGATCCAATATCTGGGTCAATGGTTTCTGCGTGTTGACTGTATATGATATATATGTATATGTAAATGTAAATGTATATGTATATATGTATATATGTATATATGTATATATGTATATATGTGTATATGTGTATATGTGTATATGTATATATGTATATATGTATATGTATATGTAGAATAGAACAGAACAGAACAGAATAGAATAGAATAGAATAGAATAGAATAGAATAGAATAGAATAACAGAGTTGGAAGGGACCTTGGAGGTCTTCTAGTCCCACCCCCTGCCTAGGGAGGAAACCCTACATCACTTCAAACAAATGGTTATTCAACATCTTTTTAAAAACTTCCAGTGTTGGAGCATTTACAACTTCTGGAGGCAAGTTGTTCCACTGGTTAATTGTTCTAACTGCCAGGAAATTTCTCCTTGGTTCTAAGTTGCTTTTCTCCTTGATTAGTTCCCACCTGTTGCTTCTTGTCCTGCCTTCAGGTGCTTTGGAGAATAGTTTGACTGACTCCCTCTTCTTTGTGGCAGCCCCTGAGGTGCATAGTAAGGTTGTCCAGTTCTCCATCCTTTCCTTTCTGCCCATTGGCCCTGCTGGTAAAGGTTCTAAGAGCTGAAGTCACATCACATCTAGAGAATGCTAGGAGGGGGGGGAGACCATTCCTTTACAAGCACCCCTTTTCTCACAACATGCACACCTGTCCTTACCCCAGGCATAATGATGTTCTCTATGTCTCTGAAGATATTATCCCAGCTTTCTGGCTCCAAGGGGGCTCCATCCGGCAACTGATCTCTCATGTAACCTGGTTGCACAT